ATTAGACCATCAAAACAGAGTTGAAGCTGAGACACACAGGCAAAGGGCTGCTCTGGGAAGGGGCCACTGACCCACCCCAAGGAGCATGGAGGGGGAAACCTTGCCCAAGGGTTGTCAAGGCCAAAAGTACAGTCAGTCTACATAAACAGGGAAATTTCTCAGGAGTTCTGTCTCCTCCAAAGCAAAAAAAATAAAAAAAAGGTAAGGTACTTAACTAAAACAAAGAGTACCTACAACTTGAAAAACACATGAACACTATTAATGAAAGAAAAGCTGAGTCTGGTCAGCTACTATTTTGTTAGGTACTGAAACTTCAATGGAAGAGGAGGAAGTGAAGATCTAAAGAAAGAGCCAACACAGGTAGCAACACCTGAAAAGGAATGAGGAGGCACAGAAGGTACTTATTATACCATAAACCCCAGGCCTCGGAGTTCCTGCAGCAGGTCCCAGCTCCCATTCTGCAGAAGCAAGCTGTGCTTCCACTCAGAAGAGGAAATGAAACCTGCCACATTAAGAGATAAGGATCTTTCAACCAAAGAAGAAACATGTAAAGAGGCGTGTTTCTCACTTCACATGAGGCATTTCTGTGCAAGGAAATGTCAACACTGATCTAAGACTGGGAGTAGAGCAGGGGGGTGGCAACAAGCCTTGTCCCAGGAGAGAAATACAGCTGGTCAACACCACGCTGGAGTCATTGACTGCAGGAACAGTGCTCCGCTGCTTTCCTTAGGCAGCCTAGGGTGCCCTGGCATAAAGGGCTCAAGACACTGAGTGTGGAAGAGGCTAAGGTTGGCAGGAGCTGCCACTTCCGGAGGCTGATTATGTGCACCAAGCATTGGGTTTACGTGTGCTAATACCTTTAATTCCATGCCTTGCTATTTTCACTTTGCAGACGAGACAATCTGGGCATGGAGGTTGGGTAACTTGTCAAGGTTAAATTTCCTAACAAGTGCAGGATCAGAGATCGGAATTCAGATAGCAATTCTCACTCTCTGCAAAGTAACAGGCCTTCGCCTAAGGCCAGGCTGTTCCTTGAGGCCCAAATCGAAACACAGGTCCTCTATGAACAGAATGACTGCCTGTTGTTGGGGGCAGATATAGCAGATCACCACACTAACACAGCATGGAAAGAGAAGCTAGAGGGTACCAGGAAACCCCTTTGGGGACATGGGCATATTTTGTGCCTTCTTATCAGATTCAGGGCCCCTCCTGCAGGGTCCCTGCTGCTCACACAGACCATTGCAGATTTGCTGCAGGAACTTTGGATGCAAAAGGTTTGCCTAGGGCAAGCACAATGGTGACTAAAGATTCACTTCCTCAAAATGCCAATGTGTCCTGAGATTTTTTCCATTGAGGAGTGTGTTAAAGAAGGGAAGGGAGACTACCTTGCAGAAACATCCAGGGGCCTGCAGACATCTGCTCGACCTTCTAGCCTTTCTGTGCCTCAGGTTTCACACCAGATGCACTTGACTTGAGAGTCACCCTTTTTGCACTGATATAGTGACTAACATTAAACATTAACAACAAAAAAAAGGAGGCTGTGCTCTAAATGTGAACCCCTACATACGAAGGGCTCCACTCTTTATAGGAAAACCTACCAAAGAGAGTGACTTCATCATGGTACTGTTTTTTTTTTTCAATGACTCCAGGCACAGCTGTCACTTAATGACAACCTGCTCTGCACATGAATCTGCACGTGAATCACAGAATCAACTGTTAATGTTCACATGACCTTCCAGGGATGCTATGAATATTTCAACCTTGAGGACACTGCAGCTCAGAAACATTAAATGACTTATCCAAGAACAGGTAGCTAACAAATGGTGGAGCCAGAATCTAAATCTAAAACCTTAATCAAAGTGAAGGAGAATCTGAGCTGTATGTTGCTGATTCAGCACAGCTGTAGAAGGCACACTGGCATTGGGTGTGAACATGATCTTGGGTGTCACCTGAGTATAATGTTTGCAAATCTAGCTGGGAAATTGAACTCAGAGCTCTGACAGTTCCCTCTGTGCAGTATGAGATGGTGCCACTGGAGTCTATGTATATGGAATCAGCTCATAGGCAGTCTTGCTCTGCACCCAGTGAGGCTCAGTCAATGCCTTCACCTTACCTTCCATCACTCTCAAGATCGGGAAGAACAGGAAGCACACCCTTAAAAGAAGACTGATGTGAAAGTGAGGTGTCTGGTCTCCCAGAGCTTAATGAAGCACAAACTTCCAAGAGGCTGCAGTGCATTTTTCATTTTTAAGAAGGATAGGAAAACAGTTTTCAAAACTCTTTCAGATTTCAGCCATTGTTCCCCATGCTTTTGATGTTGTCAGAACAGCAGGAAGAACATGCCACAGTTGGGATGGGAGGTAAAAGCAACCAGCACCCAGACCCAATGAGATCTGAGGACCTCTACCCCTGGCTTCACACTCTATCCCCTCAGGAAATGCTGGCTACCTGTTGCATGCTAGCCACTCCACGGGTCAAATAGCAAGAGATTTTGCTGTGAAACTTGACATAGCCAGGAGACAGAGAGGGAGAAATATGTTTCAGCAACAAACCAGAAGTTTTACATTTTGTACTGAACATTATTAAACAAAACAATAAAAACAGCTAGTAGGTACTACTGCCCTTTCACAAAAACTTAATAGTTGGGTGAGAAAATAAAAAGTTCCTATAAGTTACTGATGAGAGCATTTAGACTATTGTAAATGCTGAACACAGAATTGACCTTCGCAGAGCTTCCCAGATAGACACTTGTCCTATTCTGGAATGAAGTCCCCTGAGACCTCAACATGGTGTGAGGCAAAAAGAAAAAGCACTGCAGAGCCAAATGGTTGCATGGGGACCTGAGACATCCAAACTACTCACACTCACTTCACAAAGAGACACTCGCTATGGGGTGCTATCCCCAAACATGCCACCCTGGCAGTGGCTGACGCTTGGAGATGTTTCAACAGGCAGGACCCTGTGGGAGAGACCAGGGCACTGGGCTGCTCACACCCTCTGGCAGGTGAATGAATTTCTTGAGAGCTGAGCTGACTAGCAGGGAATCTTACCTTCCTTTCCTTTCTTGGAGTAACTGAGATTTCACCACTCTGCTTTTGGCTAGCAAATGCACATGCCAGCCCTCTCCTCTCCAACTGTAGAGAGGATAAAATAAGCTAAACTATAATCGTAGAGCCAGTAGTCAACAAAATATTACCTCTTATTTTTGAAGGTGAAGTTATTAAATTTCGAAGAAAAGTGGAATGCAGAAGGGCAAGGAGAATACCTTTGTCAGCATTCTGCTGACATTCAAAGAACATAGACCCGAATATTATAAGGAAAAGAAAAGAACTTGGAGCCAATGTAATGGAGCCATGGCCACATAGGGATGAGAAAGGTGAGGCCAGGCTGGGGTGGGAGCAACATTACTCAAGACAAAACCAGGGTAAGGACCTGAGTTTTCAGGACACAAGGGCAGAAGCACCTGAACTGCAGAAGAGTAAAGGTAAGTGCCTCCCACACTAATCTTAGGAGAGCTCCCCCTTTGCTTTGTTAATAAAACCAAAGCATCACGATCAAAGGCCAGGACATTAGCTGCCACAGTTGCCAAGGATCCCTCTGTGGGTAAAAATATGGAAAAATAACAAACTTCTGTAGATCCAGGAAGCCCAGAAGCCCTTTGCACGTTGTATACGCAGCTGGATTATAAACACCCATGAAATTATTCCATTTGGCCTAAGTAACAACAGGCCCTTTTCCCTTGCTAATCCCCAAATGCTTGCCAGGCATTAAGTTCCCAATTAGTTCAAACCATGGAGATTTACAAAACACATAGACACACATCACTATATCTAGCTCATTTGATGCCACTGGATTTCTATAAGCAATATATTGAAAATATCACAGGCCACTGAGCTTGATGGCAAAGGAACTGGAAGGCAGAAAGATCTGACCACTAGCTCTGTTCCAGGCACACAGAAGGTACTGAAGAAAAGTTTGCAGAGTGAGTGAATGAATGAAGTGTCCTGGCTCCACCATCAGATGGTCCTAGCTGAGAACTTTGATGGCTTTGTGACTATGGGTCCTCTACTTCACAGACCCCCTTTTCCAGCAGGGGATGAGGATGACCAAGGCAGCCATAAGAATCCATGAGCTCAGGTAAGTAAAGCTTCCTCAATAATTCTTGGAGCAATGAGTATAAATTTGTTGCCTCCATCCCTCTAAAAAAAGCACCTTCTTAAAAAGTAGCTCAATCACAGTCAGCCGGAAGAGAAAGCAGGGCCCCAGCAGAATGAAGGTGTTAATCACAGAGTCATCATTGGAACCCAGAAGCTCAATGTCAAGTGCAGCTGTCTCCTGAGATGACCACGATCTTCCCCATGGTGCAACTTCCTTACTTAGAAGGCCAATCCTACCTATACTGCCCTCTTCCCATAATATAGTCCTCTTCCAAGCCTTAGTTTCTATCAAACCTTTCTTAGCCCTTTGAGGACTTCTAGTTGAACTAATATGCCCTCACCCCAGTTCTCACAGGACCCAGACTTACTTCTAGGTAAAGCCTATAACACCTCCTTTCTGGGTCTGGTCAGTATCTAATTCATCTTGATATTCACAGTATAATGAACTATGATTCATACATAATATATGCCCAGGAAACAGCTATTAAAGAAGTGAATGAATTATAAACAACTGATTCTAGACAATTCTGATGGTATAGAATCTTCAAAATCCTGCCCTAGTGACATAGAAAATGGCATACTGGTGAGCGGCCACCTTCAGAGTTCATGACACCAATCCACAAACCTTCCCCAGGGCACAGCACCTGTCCTTTGGACATGTGATGACACATATGGAGTAATGGTTACTTATTTTCCAAGAGCACCTACACATTGAAATAGTCTCCTGTTTGTCCTCCCACCTGGACAAGAGGCAGCAAAAAGTGCTCCTTCCAGTCTCTCACATGCCAGGCCAGGACCAGCCTTCATAGCACGTGTGTCTGCACCTGACTAAGCCTCACTTACCTCTCCTCATCCTTAAAGATGAATTTCCTCAACTTGAGGTCACGCAGCACCAGCCCCCCGTCGTGGCAGTGGGCCACGGCTGAGGCGATCTGGTAGAACAGTCTGGCTGCCTCTTCCTCCCTCAGCTTCTTGCAGGTACGGACGAAGGAGTGCATGTCTCCATAGCTCCGCTCAAAGAACACATAGGCTTTGGTCTCCCCCAGGAGGATTTCCGTGATTTGGTTGATGTTGCTGTGGGCAGACAGGCAAAAGCACGGGGCCAGGGACTCCTGGTAGCAGCTGATCTCAAACACCTAGGACAGGATTAACAAGAGCTGAGTTAGACACTCCTCCTACAAATCTATGGCAGAATGTGGATACCTCCCATAGGCTTGCGTTCATGAGATAACAGAGAGCATTCGGACTCAGACCCACTACCAGCTGTGCAGTATTGAACAAGTCTTTAAACCTCGCTGAGCCTCCAAGTCCTCAATATGTACAATGGACAAATGAAACCTGACTTACAGTGGAGGGAGAAGCCTGTGAGAAAATGAAGGTACTATACAAATGGTAAATTTTATTCTTCCCTGTAGCCCAATTCCCTATTTACAGAGTAAGGCAAAATCAGACAGTGACAGACCCCTAAGAAACATAGACAACACTACCGTCAAATAAAGGAACAAAAGGCACACCAACGAGCTCTACATAACTTATTAGCAATTAATACATTAAATATCTAGATTTTACCTAACAGCTCTCTAAATTTAAGGCATTCATTTCACAGATGTGGAAACTGAGGCTCAGAGACCAAGCCCAAATTCCTGCCCCCCAGTGGCAGAGCTAGGTATAAGACTCAGCCCTTCTCAACAGGGAAGCAGGCTGGCTTATTTCTTCCCTCCACAGACATCTAAGTCAATGAAGCAGTTATGCAATGATTTTCTATGAATCAGAATTAGCCTGTGAAACGCCACCTCACCATTGCTTAAAAAGAAAGTGCACCATCAATACCTTTTGAAACAGATCTAAGAGAAATTAACCCTACAGAGAGCTCTTGATTGGAAAGGAGCACTTTCGTTCATTTCAAGCTCTGTACTGAATCAGAGCGCTCAGACTTGTAATCCCAGCATGCAGGAGGCAGAGGCAGGAGGATCAAGAGTTGAAGACAAACCTGGGCTACACAGGGAGACCCTGTTTCAATAAAAATCAAAAAAGAAAAAAAAGGAATACCAGTGCCTGAGGTTTGGAATGTGGTTTATCTTGCTTTCCAGAAATGTGGGTAAGAACTGCCTATGGGGGTGTGCACCGGCAAAGGGGCACTCTGCTAGCAATTCATGGGTACAAAGTCACTGAGCTTTCCAAATCGCCTGTCAGTGAGACATACTTCCTGTGGTCATCATTTTGCATTGTGGCAGGAAAAAAGCTGGAAAAGAAAATCACTGACCTGGCCTGGCCTGGCCTCCTTCATCCTGACTAGGCCACCTCTAATTTGGATGGGACCTCTCTCCTTCTTCATGAAATAAACACAGGACACAGATTCTGTAATCCCTCCCGGATCCCTCCCACTAGGGAATCTGATAAAAGCTCTGTCGCCAGACAAGGACCGTTCTCAAACGCATGCACAATACAAGATTCTCTGGAAGAGATCCCTAGGCCTTCTGAAGCCCATTCAGGAACACAGCCTGCAATTTAAGAATCCAGGAGTTCAGTTACTCTAAGCATTAAAAAAAAAAAAAAATCTGTGAGTCAAACAGAGACGATGAGCACCTCAAGGGGGCTGGTGCTAACTGGGGCTGAGGAAGCAAAGTTAACAGTAACGTTGTGAATGAACCATAATGAGGCATCTGAGGAAAGCAGCACAGCTGCTGCCACTACACCCTAGAATTTAAGAATGAATACTTCACCCTCTCCAGAGACCACAAATCACACCCTGATACTGTCACATGATGACCTCAGAGCAGTGACCTCAGAGGCCTGTTCAATTAGGAACCTGAAATGCTTGAGTCAACTTTAACACCCAGTCTGCAGGCAGCAGAACGGGGCAGGCCTTGGAAATTTCATAGAGGAATAAATGCTTTGCCGTGGTGAATGTCAGCAGGCTGCCTTATATGATGAGCATGACTGACCTGCTCTGAAGCACTAGGCTGTGCATTCTGTCACCAGAGCCTACATTTATGATTATTTATAAAATAACTTCTTGTTTCCAGTTGCCTTTAAAAAAAATAAAATAAAAGGTGCCTTTGGTTCAGTCTATTATCCTGCCCCAATGCTGAAACACCAAATGAACAAAGAATTAAATTAAAAAAAGAAATCAAACCCATTCATGAGCGCTTCAAAATGTAGACATACCCTTTGTGGAAGAGACCAAATTCCAAGATGGTGGACAGAGAATGAAAAATAAAAGAGGTACTTAGGTTTTCCCAAATGGGAAGGAACTAAACTTTTATTAGTAGATTTAACAGGCATTTATGGGCTTGGATTGGTATTTAAACCATCACCTTCAAGAGTAAAATCAAGCCACAAGTCTGGTTGCCAGCTTTTTTTAAATGTTTAATTTGGAGTCTTAGTTATATAAGGTGACAGTTCAGATAAGGCACTCAGATTAGGGTACGTTTAATAACGTTTGCAAAAAAAAAAAAATGACCATTCTGCCAAGATAATAATTATGTCAGTCTGCACAGTAGCTACCAGCATTTCTGTGAAAACGATACAGCTAAAGACCCCCCAAGGTCCTTCCTTCATTTGCTTAGCCAAAGTAGCACATGGAGACAATAAACAGGCTGGATTATTTTGTTTAAATGCCTCTGGAATCTCTCTCTCCCGAAAGCAGTGTCTTATGCATCTCTCTATTCAGCCCTTTATATTAAGCAGCATTTTTATATTTGATCTGCTTTTGCAGACTTTTTTTCCTTGGGCCAACATAAAGGTAGGAAACAGGAACCCTATTCTAAGACATCAAAAGCAACTTGACTCAATGTGTAGATTTCAGTGAGCCTTGAAGTAAGCTAAAGCCAGCAATGTTTCAGGGCAGTTCATAGAAGCAGCCTTAAAAAACTCATTTGGAGCTTCCTAGGATATACACAGCTATGCTTGCAGAAGAAGTCATCCATATCACCTCTGGCAAGGAGGCAGGAAAACAGAAGCTGCTGTGTCTTAAAGGGATGACCTCTGTCAAGCAGAACAATGATACTGCACTTAATCCACTTGCAGCCACACTGTAATTGGTGAGGGGCTGATTCACTCTTTGCAATAACTAAACCAGCAGATTAAGTACAGTTTTAGGCCAGAGAGCAAGCCTGCAAATGCCACTGTAAGGTCAGCCCACAGTGAAATATGTCTTGAAGGATCTGAAGGGAGAAAGAAAGAGCAGAGGCCAGAGTCATCTTGATTTTAAACAAAGAAATAATAGCAAGATGCTCCTGGAGAATTTGGCTGCAGTCTCTTTACTTAAAAGCATCTACAGCCTTTGAAAAATATTAAAATTCTGTACTGGAGTTGAGCAAAAGGAGGGAAAATGCGCACTGCTGGGAACTGTGCACATTTTATAGGAGAGTGGCAGCTCTGTGGAACTCATTCATCTTAAAGGATGACTGTCCTATTGTGCAACCTTGCAGGACTTCTGAGAATCCAATCCCACTCTGAGTTGCCTACTGAATTTTGGTTAACTGGGCATAGCCGCTCTGGTCTCAGTAACTTGGAAAAGATGCAAAATACCAAATGCTCAGTATATGCAAAAAGCAATTCCGACTTCCCCTAAAGTCTGAACTGAACAATCAATCACAAAACTGACCTGACATCTCCACTAACCCAGTTTTTGCAGTGAAACACTCCAATCCAGTATGATCTGAGGCTATTCCACAACCCAGTCTGTGGTTCTAACACTGCTGTGCACAGCACCCATTTCAAAGGCAGCATGGATCCCTTCTCCCCCTGCCCCCAAAAGAAATTGTGAGCAAATCTAAAATTAAGTGACAAGGAATTCTTGACCTATACCCAATTCTGTGCTCTATTGTAGTCTTTTTTTTTTTTTTGCAACAATTCCCCTCCTCATCCCCTTTCTTGTGCCCTGTGAGTGCACACAAAGACACACAGACACGTACACAAAAACCAAGCCACTGTTCAGGGTAACCGAAGTGTCCACCTCCATATTAGCACTGGAGACTCCCAACCTTACAGGCAAAGGTGTGTTGAGGGGGAGGGGAAGTAGGAATTGGCGGAAGGAGGACCTGCAGGCAGAGAGTCTAGAGATGAGAAGGCACCAAGACAAGAAAGACCCAGAGGATTCACTGTTCACCCAAAGGTGCACTGGTGGCCCGCTCCCACCCTAGCCCTCCTTTCCAAGCTCCAGGCAGAAGAAAGGTCTTTGTAAACTCCTTCCCGGTGCTGGGCCCCAGGACCTAACCAGAGGGGACACCTCTGTGTGTGTCTTTTAAAGGGCACCTTCGGAACAAAGGTTTAACACCTGCACGCTGCTAAGAACAATGGCTGCTAAAGGAACCAAGTCATCAGCTCTTAAAAACGCGCGGGGGATTCCCTAGTTCCTTGGGAGGGGAGGGGGCTCGACCTAGAGCGAAATCCCCTGGGCAGCAGGACCCCGCCGCGCGCACGGGAGCTCCACCAGCCTCGAGGAGCACGCGTGTCGGGACCCCTCGCCGTCCCGCCGCCCGCCCCGCCCGGGTGCTCCCCAAAACGCCCCCGCCGCAACCCGCCCCATTGTCTCAAACGATCTAAAAACTTCGCAACTAGTGGAACAAGGACACACAAATAAACAAACCCACTTAACAAGGCCACAGATAATTATGCTGTGAATCTCCCTCCCTTAGACTCGAGGGCTCAGCGACCTCCCGCCCCCTCAGGCCCTTTGCAAAGGGCCGAGAAACCTTTTCAAAAGACAAAAAGCACAAGCAAACGCCGGGCTCCTTACCTTACACACCAGCTCCTCGCCACTGTGCAGATGCACAGCACGAAAAACGTGGTCTCCCTCCAGAGGTTCCAACAATAAGTATTTCCCGATGCAAGAAACGCAATGCGACAAGTTCGGAGTCTCGGGCGGGCTCGGGGAGCCAAGGTTCGGGCTGAAACTCTGGCTGGGCTCGGCGGACCTTATGGACGACAACTCTTCGAAATCCTGGGTTTTGTTCCGCGATCTCCCATATCTCGCTATTGTGATGGGGGTAGACCTGTGTATGTTCATGAGTGTGAGGATCGCACACGACAAAAAAAAAAAAAAAAAAAAAAACCCTGCTGGAGAGATGAGTCGCGGACGAGTGCGGCTGCAGGCGCCTCGATGCCACGGATTTAAAAAGGGAACGAGACGGGAGGGGATGGGCGGGGGGCTACGTGGAGAAAGAGTTAGAAGCCCCCAGATGGGCGGGCGCCGCTGGGCACCTCGTCTGCTCCAAGCCCGACTCCCGGGGGTGCTCGGTCTGCAGGCAATCGGGTCCTTTTGTTACCCCAAAGCAGCCAGCGAGGAGCAGAATCCCCGCACTTTTTAGTTTCTCAGTCTCTCTTTTCCCAACGTGGATCTAGATGAGTAACCGGACTGCTAAGGTGGGGAGCTGCGGCGCCGGGTTCCCCGAGCGATCCCCAGGCAGCCTTCTGAGCCGCAGACGGGGCGGAGGAGCCCTGCTGTAGTTTGTGCGGTCTTCTGGGAGCGCACGGCGGCGGCTCGGTCTCCACGCGTTAAGAAACCAAACAAAAAGAAAAAGGAAATAAGCACGGGTCTACCGGCTCGCGACACACGGCAACCAGAATCCGCGCTGCACCCCCTTTTTTGGTGGAAAGGGTGGGGGGCGTGGAAGGAGGGGTGCCGGAGAGGGCAGTTACCTACGTTTTAACTGTAGATGGCGTCTGAGGCTTTTCCAAGATCGCAAGAGCTCTCCAAAAATTAAACACAAAAAAAGAAAAATAGCAAGGGAGCATTTAACTTGGAGCGGTCCGCGCTGCCAACAAAAGATTGCAAAAACTGGGCAGAGTTGCGGCGCGGGCCGGGCGCAGGTACCGCGACAAAGCCCAGGGCTTGGCCCGCGCGCGCAGCTCAGCACTGGCTCATACTGTCGCCGCTCGCTCGCGTTCGGAATCTTCCTCCGAAAGAAGCAAGAAGTGCGTTCGGGGACCTGGGCAGATCAATGGTCCCCGATTTCCCCGGCACAAGCTTCCGGGGGGTCCTGCGGGTGCTGGAAGGGGATGCTTCCCCGGCCCTGCAAACCCGCGACGTTCCTTTTCCACGGGAGAACTGATCTTGTCTTGGAATAATTTGCAATCACTCCGTCTCCCCCTGCCCTGAACCCAAATTGCCCGGCGGGGGTTTGTTTAGGAGAAAAAAATTGACGGCTTTTCTTCTTCTTTTATTTTTTTCCTTGCCACCCAGAGGTAAGAGAGGACTGTGTATTTAAAATTTAAAGGGGATGGCCGACGGTGTCCAAGGCCAATCCCAGCGCTCAGCACGCCCGCAGCTCCTGGCGAGGCGGTATTAATAGTTACTTACGTGGCCGGGGATCTCGGAGCGAGCGGGGCTGTGTGCGCGTGTGTGCGCGCGCGCGCGCGCCTGGCTCGCACTCGGTCTCCCCATTCAATGTCACCGACACATTTCCACGGAGTCCCCGCCCCCCCAACCGCACCCGCGACTGGCTCGGCCCGGAGCAAGGCCCCGCCCCGCCCCCGCCCGGGCCCCTGTCATTGAACCGGGCGCCCATCAATCAGTCTCTCTGCTGCCAGTCCGCGGACGGCTTCCCGCGCCAGTCGGCGGCGCGGGCGGTCGCCACTGCCATTGCAGCTCCCGGCCGGGGGCGCCGGCGCTGGCCTCGCCCCTGGTTGGCGGGGTTCGGAGAGGTAAACACAGTGCGATATCCTTCCGCGGCTCGGGGCACTGCTGCACGCCTGGCCATACTGCGAGCCCTGTTAAAGGACGGCTGTGGAGGTGCAGACGCGGGGGTATCGATTCCTCACCCCAACCCCAGCCCGGCCGCGTCAGGTCTACTTCTTCAGACCCAGCTCGTGCTTTTCCCCCCAAAGCCAGGCAGGCGTCCTCGGAGCACCAGGGCCTCTGCTCAGAGCTTGCACTGCGCGAGCGGCTTTCCTCTTTCTGAAGAATGTGCTTCCATTAGTATCGCTGCCTGGAGTTTCCAGAATTCGTTTCGTTATATCTCTCCAAGGACTCCCCTCGTTTAAACAGAAATCTATTGCTGCCTTTTAGTAGCTATCATCGCCCGCCCACCCCCAGCGTGGGCTTCCAGTATTTTCAGCATCTTTTTGACTCAGAACAAACTTAATCGGTGATCCTTTCCTCTCCGAGCAGGGTCCAGAGGGCCTTGGAGGCTGGAGGAGATCCACCTTTGTACACACACCTCCGGCAAGCACTGTTGACTCATAGCCAGGGTGTTGGGCTTCACCAATCCTACCCCAGCAGGAGTACCAGAAATCCTTTCATGCTGGAATCAGGTGAAGTCTGCACTTTCACCTCCAGCTCCTTCTCAGCTTCCTGGCAAGGTTCCAGACCAATGGCTTGGTCAGGCACACAGGAGGAAAGTTCACAATCGGGCTTACACCCGGGCTTTAGAATTTGGCCCCCTGCCCTTCCCTCGTGCATCTTGGTATATGAGGACCAATCTAGAGGGGGAAAACTTTAAAAACAAGGCCAAGATCTGGCTGGCAAAGGGCTGTTGACATGTTTATGAAACCTGCGCGCTTTTACCCAGTACATCTTTTAGTCAGGAAGATTTACTGCCTATTTCACTTTTGATTGAGAAAGAAAATTGTTTGTAATTGTGCTCACATGGGACAACAGAGTCACGTTGGCCAGAGATGGAGAGAGAACATTGGTTGTATAGCTGGGTAGCCTAGAGCATAGAGTCTGAAAAGAAGATGCTTCTTGGCACTCTCACATTCTTTTACACACAAACCTGCCTTTTGTTTAGGGCTTAATCCCACAGAGGGATGAGTCCCTTAGGCTAGCCCCATGACCAAAGCCTGAGTAGGACCCATACTCCAGTCGGACCCCAGGAAGACATTTGACCAGGGTCAAGAGCAGCCCTCAGGCAACGTAAGGAAAGTTTTCTGGCTGCCTTTGTTGGGTGACCACCCACGGAGTTTTACTTAGAATTAGAGTTTGGGGAGACCTGTGTTCTTCCCCTGGCCTCTGATTTCAAGAGGAAATTGAGTCCGGAGATATTTTTTCCTCTCTGGGTCACTGTTTCTTCATCTGTAAAATGAGACTCATTAAACACAAGCCCTGCTCACCTCACGTGATTGCTTTAGAATTGTATTTGCTGTTCCAGGAAATCTATGAAGGCTTACTATAAGCTAGGCCCTGTGCTGGGTGTTAAAGATCCAAGTGTGAGTAAGATTTGGTCTCTGCCACCCAAGAGCTCAGAGTCTAGCCCCAGAGAAAGAGCAGGAAACAAATAATTGTTTAACAGTATGGCAGTTATAATATTAGGGCCTCGAGGAGTAAAGAGAAGAGAAGGATTTTTCCAGGACTTCAAGGAGTTTGTCCAGAAAATGTGCCTTGAAGAAAACAAACAAAACACTTGAATTAATTCAGAGCAAATATTTATTGAAACCTACTATGTGCCAGACACGGGACATGGAGATACGACAATTTAAACTATATTTTCTTTGTGGACCTTGAAATAGTCCTATGACTCATAAAATAATATGAATAAGAGACTGTTGCTGGCATTTCAGACAAAGAGAAGAATGTGCAAAAGCAAAGGAGTGCAAGGAGTGGGACGTTCTGAAATTTCTACTAACTTGCCACACTCCAGTGTTGGTAGCTGGGCTACGGTGGTCAGGCATTTGCCCACAAAGCAGATTGCCATAAGATCAGGAAGGTGTTGATTGCTACAAGTGAAAGACTGTGCTCTTCATAGCAGAGGAAAGGAAGAATCAACATTGACTTTAAGTTGTGAACTGACATGGTGGTGTTGGGGTTTTAGGAAGACCAAGTTGGCAGTCATATGGAGCTAATACTACTGGGCTTGCAAGACAGGAGAAAGCACTGTAGCTTGAACTGAACAAAATATAAACTTACAGTGATGTGTAACTAATGCTGGTCCGGACTGCTAGTGAATTTACAGACTCTGTTTTGCCTCCTGGAATCCACCAAATTCATGACTAAGTGCTATGATTGGTGACCAAATTCATGAAGTTACTCTAGTGCACAGTATTTTAGATCATTTATGCCATGGGCCTGTAAACATTTTTTAGGCTTGTTGATGCAGTAGTTCTTCTCAAGTGAAAAAAAAAAAAACCCACATGTAAAAAGAAGAAGGGCAAGAATCTTTGTTCATTCACTTTATAAACAGATTTAGAATATCTTAATCTGTAAAGTAGAATTATATTATGCATTCTTCCAACCCATGAAAATTAGGGATATCTACATGACAGAAATTAAATAATCACTTTTATTGTTGTTAAGTTACTATTATTGTTGGAATGCATTCACAGAAGGCAACCCAACATTCAATAATCAATAATAATAATAACATATAAAATGTTTATCATATTAGCAAGACATGTAGGATCTATTAAACAGTTATAACAACAGTTAAATATAGGATGTAACTATAATAAAATATTATGTGGTAATTAAAGTAGTGATTACATAATCACTAAAGAGATACATTTTAGTCAGTCTACTCTGTACTAGCACAGTCAAATCCAGTTGCTCCCAGTTAACAGCCTGGTATCCATGCTTTCTAGAACATTCTCTACTCTGAAATCTACTTAACTACTCCTTCACTTAGTTTATTGCTCATTTGTTCATCCACTTAGCCAACATACAGTGGGTACCTGTATGTTTGTAGAAAAAACAGATTTTTTTAAAAAGAACTTGTTCGATTAAAAGCACAGGTGAGAAAATTCATCTATCTTATCTCTTACAAGTTATACCTCAGCACAAAAATCTGACAAACTTCCAGGATGAATTGTAGAGAGTACCAGTTTATGCTGATGTATAGATTATGGCCTGTTAAACTCCAGAACATTCCATTGTAACTGAGATGTCTATGAATGACATCCCCGGATTTGTGAAAAATGCAATTGTCTTAATTCATTGGAGTTGTGACAAAATACCATAAACTAGGTGATCCATAAAAAACACAAATTTATTTCTCACAGTTCTGGAGACTGAAAGTGCTAAGACAAGACACTAGCAAATTGGAGGTCTAGTCAGAGATCCAAATATGAGTTCTAGTTCCTTGATGGTGTCTTTACACTGTGCTCTCCAGTGCTGAAGAAGGCAAGGTAGCTCTCTGTGGCCTTTTGTGTAAGGGAGCTAATCCCATTCATGAGGACTCTGCAAGCAAGACCTCCCCTTCCAAGTGTCCTATAGCCAATACCAGCACAACGGAATTAGCATTTCAACGGAACGAATTTCAAGTGGGTGGCCCATAGCAGCACTTTTCTTGGCCATAGTCTTTGGGCTGGAATTCAAGAACCTCTCAACAACTTCATTTTACTCTTTTCAGTTATGTCCCTACCAGCTGCTCACTACTCCAGGAGCCTCCCTCTGTGCCTAAGACTTGGGCTATACACTCTTCCATGTTTGGTGCCTCCATGTTTCCTTTCCAGGATGTTCCTTCCACCTCATGTATTCTCTCAGTTCAAGGTTATTTTTCCCAGTTTTTTTTTTAATTAGGCTTTGTAGATGCCTTGGGTTTTAAACGGTATGTTCAAAATCAAGGAGGAACAGGTACACTTGGCCACTAATGAGGACTTTTGTGGTATTAATGCCTGAATGCAATCTAGATGCTCCTGATGATTGAATCTACAGATTACTTGGTGTCAGGGTTAGTAAAGATAGTTATGAAGATAAGTACTCTTACCTCTTTGAGCAATATTTAACTGATCAATGTGTGGTGAACCAAATCAGGATACCAATCTAACATCCTGCTCTGTAACATTTTTAGGAGGTGGCCTGTCTTAAAATGAGTTCTTCACTGTGGCCTTGGGTTGTACCATTAGTGTTGCTTAATTTGCATTCAACTTCGTATCTCCTTGTTGCTTTCCTTAAACATTCTCAAATGCAATTCTGGCATCCATTTGAGTAAAGAAGATGGAAGAGGTTCTGGGAAGAGAGTGCCTGCCTCCACAACTACAGCCACTGGGCATACAGTTGGCACAGCAAACCATAACCTGTGCTTTACACAGCGTCAAGATGTTGAGATGAATTTGCGGCATTGATAAGCCTGTGGCTTGCTTCTACACTTTGACGCATGTTAACTATATTAGCTCCATGTCAAATTGCTGCATTGCTTTGAAAATCTTCTCTATCACTAACTTTAGTAATAGTCAGACTTTAATTTTGTCTTTTCAGTGCTAGGTCATCTACATCTTTCTCTCTAGTTCTCATACAATACTTCAAATTATCCCCACTTTACAGATGAAAGAATCAGGGCCCATAAGGAAGTATTTATTTATTTCATGATAGCCCATTACTAATTAGATTATTCCATGGTGGGATCTCCAGGCGTTGGATGTTATGTGTATTGGGGAGTGGGTCTGGGCTGGGAAGGAAGGGGCAAGGAAATGAGTTTATTCTGAAACTATATGATTTTTTTACTACATCGCATTACTTGTCATCAGACTTTCTAGAAATGACTAAGTCCTTG